AGAGAGAGAGAGAGAGAGAGAGAGAGAGACGCATAAACGAACATCCTGTCGCTCTCACAGTGGGAGTATTATCTGTCTTGTTTGTTCTCGTTTGCACAAGTTTCTCTTTTTTCAAACTAGATCTAAATAAATTTACTCCTCCTTTTTCCGACTAATCGTACTTGAACATTGTCGGTGTTCAGTTATGAAGCAGAATAATGAAAATAATTCCTTACTGAATAACAATTTCCGTTTCATGTTTTCTGTATTTCCTTTCAGAATTGATTACCTCCTCTGCTTCTGCGACAAACGGTTCGAGGGGAAACACGGTAGCAATTTTGTAGATGTCATTCGAGTAGCATCTACTATTTCGACCTACAACTACAAGTATAAACAGCTGTGTGTATAAAGTTTGAAGACCGGCGGAGATGTTTTCAGATCTACTAGAAATAGAGGACATGGACATCGATGACCTGTGCTATCCAAAGACGTGTACCACCGTTGGCCCCGCAGAACCTCCATTATCATCAGCGACAGTGTCATATTCCTCATCATCGTCAACCATAATGTCCACGACTAACTTCTTTCAGCCACCCGAGTCTCCGACCTGCAAATATATTTGTATGTTGGACAGAATTGCTTCAGATAACCCTGATTTACACAGTGAAAACTTCACTGACGAACGCTGTAATAGTAACAATGAAGAATATCGTGTCCTAGAAACTTGCCCTTTTGATCCGCGGACTTCTCCTAGCGGGGTATTCATTCCTGACTCAAAAGACTTCATAGGCAAAGACAGTCCCCAGTATTCTGATCTTGACGCAACTTCAGCGAAAAGAACTGCAGAACGAATAGAGACGCCAAATCCGCATAACGTGGTAAAAACACAAACATCGCCTTGTCCTTTGGCTGTCTCAGCGAATTTATCACCTCCAGATCCCGGACAGAGTAGGTCGCCGGGGAGCAATGACGAATCTGAAATTACAGATGTCCGAGTAGCTGTAACTACGAAGACAGACACCTTTGAGACGACTACCTCGGCCTTTCCCACCTCAGAAACGCCAACGGCAGCAGCGTTCAGCAAAGAACGGACTAAAAGGAAGAGACGGCAACCTCGAGATGTGTCACGCCTGGAGGAGAAGAGCAAGAGTTTGCCCCCTTGTCGCGTGTGTAAAGAGCAGGCGACCGGGTTCCACTACGGGGCTCATACGTGTGAGGGTTGTAAGGTGAGCGCAGTTTTTGTTGTTGTTGTTTTGTGTGTGTG